ATGATGTAATAGAAAGAGTTCTGGAATGGGAATCAGAAGATGAGGTTCTGGCCCTACCTGAGCCATTAACTTAGTTACTTTGAGCAAACCTATTTCTCTTTTCCTCAGCCATAAAATGTGATTGTCATACAAGATAATCAGCTAAGATTGTCTTCAGAGTACAGCAGAACTTAGAAATCATGCCTCTCAGAATTGCAATTGGTCCTCTCTGCTGATCTCTCGCAGAACTTTCCTGAGCAATATTTTCCTCTGCTGGTACACACTATAAGCAGACAAGGTTGTTTCTTTATCTCCTCCGACCCTGGTAACCATCCATAGACAAAGGGCACTGGGAGTCTTCAGATCTTTAATAAGGGCCTTGGGCCTACTCTGCATTCAAGGAGCTCTCAGTCTAGTAAGGGAAACAGAGACAAACAGGGTATCATAGACTACTGTGGGAACTGCCAGTATAGAGGCTGATTATCTTTCCCTAGCTGTGAAGATGTATGACATTTCATTGGAAGAAATCAGTTGAGAAGCTTGAAATCTAATAAGGAAATTGTGGGTAGAAGAGGGTATGAAAGCTATGTCAGGATGAGTCCAGTTACAGGAAACAACTTGCTCCAGACATTTTAAACAGTAGGGAGTTTAATATAGAATATTAAGTTACTTCAAGTCATTGGAAGAGCTTAGATGAGCGGTCTTTAGGCCAAGCTTAACCACTAGATCTTTTAAGTTCAGAATAATATGCCAAAACTCATCATCAATATTACCATAGGGCTTCTGCGTACCCAGGAACCAAACTCTGGAGCAGAAAATTCAATGTCACCCTTACTAATAGGGAAAGCAGAAGGAAAAGGAAGATGTCTTCTGCCATACATCTTCTTTCCAAATCTGTTGTAAAGGCATCTAATTGCAAGAAACCAGTTTTTTCCATACTCTAGCTACAAAAGAGTCTGGGAAATGTAGTTGTTACCCTTTCAGTCTTTACATTAAAGGAATATAATACAGTAAAACTAGGTGGGGATAGATGCTGAGCATGTCAGACCACATAAATGCTGTTGTTTCACTAAAATAAAACTTTTAAGAAGATAGCTCACTAGACAAAGGTACTATTAGTGCCATTCTATACATTTTATATTTGTAATGATGGATATTATGTTATTGATTTCCATTAACTATTATTTGCTTACTACCATTTTATTAGAATCTTCTTTCCCGCTCTTTCAAGAATATGCTTGTAAAACTGTTTTCGCCATGTTGTAAGTCAGTGGTTTTTGTTTTATTTTGTTCCCCATATAGTTTTTCTCTGCATCTTTAGAGACTTTCTGATTCTAAAGCTTTTCTACATTCAGATTCAGCCTTTCTCCAGGTTCTGCTTTGTTGGCAACTCTTACACATGCCTCAGCTTTTTCTTGCCTCGCAGATACCACCAGATCTCACTTCTAAGGCTAGCATTCCTCTTCCATCTTATCAGTTTTCTTCTCCAGGGCCTCCTTAGAAAATTTCCACTCTCTTTTCTCTCCTTATCACCCATTTTCTTTATTAATTATCCCCTGTAAGACAGTCTAGAAGTATGCCATCTGGTCTGGTTGTGTGCTCTGAGGTGTTAGAAGTCACGAGATTGAATAACATTAGACAAGTTTTTACCAAGAATTGGGGGGAAAATTGTTTTTAGTTTAAACAAATAGGGCTATATTGTGGAAGATAATATAAAATCCTCGTGAATTTTTAGATTAAACACAAGCCTGCTAACAGATGTCATGCTTATTGTTGCCCTTTAAAGGCAGCATTTTAGAGTTTGTTGTTTACTTTTCTCTGGATTATTGTTACTTTGGTAGAAAAGTTTGAAAAGAATTGGTCTACTCTAATTGAAATTATTTTAGTTGAGGAAAATGCATCAAAGCAAAGTTGCAGGTACACCTATTTAATACCTGAAAAGAAAGCTGAAGTTGGAGAAATCTGACTGGGGATATAAAGTTCAGTGATTCTGCCTAGAGAGTTGAGAGCCTATCTTTTAATGGCTACTTATTATTTTTTCATTTGTATTGATTTTTAGAGAGAGGGGTAGGGAGAGATAGAAACATTGATGTGAGAGAGAAACATCAATCAGCTGCCTCCTGCACACACCCTACTGGGGGTCGAGCCCACAACCCAGGCATGTGGAGTTGAACCAGGACCTCTCATGGGATGACACTCAATCCACTGAACCACACCAGCCAGGCTAATGGCTACTTAGTAAATGTTATACTGCTGGTGGAAAAGAGTAAAATCAGTAGTTCCTGACCATGGCTTATTCATCAGATTGCTTTCTGTCACAGGATAGCCTGAGGTCTTTGGAAGAGTAGTTACTGAAAGAAGCAGCCAGATGGAGAAGGGGCAGGGTGGTGCCTCAAAGATTAACTTCACCTACAAGGTGAAATGAGAGTAAGGATTTGGAGAAACCTTGAGCCAGACAGGTAGAAAGAAGACAAACTGCTTAGAATCCACATACAGAATTTGTACCTCTGGACCACAGAAATAATATTTAAGACATACTTATTTTCTTATTCTTTTCTCTTTTTTGCATCTGTAATCCTGAGATATATATTATTTTAGAGCTAAAAGGCATCTTATGGAGTACATAGAGTCTACATTATATATAGAATCTCTATTATTTAGCACTGTCATATATATATATATCATATGTCCTATTTGAGGAAGCTGTGGCTTAGATAAGCCATACTCAAGGTCACACAGAATATATATGGCAAAGCTAGTAATTGATCACCTTATTCTTTAAGGCTAGGGCTTTTTGCACTTCTTTCTTTTTCTTCTCAATCCAGTATTTTCCACCATTCCATAAAGTACAAGGAATTGGGAGAAGTCATTTTTTGTCTGGAATATTTATGAACTAAGCCTTGATAGGACAGTTTTAGTAGCAGAAAGGACACTGAAACATTTCAGATACAAGAAATAGCTCAAGCAAAGACCCAAAGGTACGGGAGGGCTGGAATGGTCCTTCTTGTACCTGTATAATGGGAGGCTTCTAACACATTCTTTTTGATACCCTAAGGTACAGTCGCTCCACTCTGTTCTATTTCAGGGAGCCCCTTGACAGAGCGGAAAGTTTCGATACCCAGTTGTTGTGTATCCTTTGCAACAGTTGATGAGGCATCTCCTATCTACACCCCAGTGGTTGAAAACACAGATTCCCCCATCTGGAATTTTCAACAGCAATCAAGGTTTGTATTTTATGATGTTCCATTAACCTCTAGAATCTGGTTTTGTTCCAGGAGATAAACTCAGAGTGAGGAATGTAACAAACACAGTAATATTGAGCAGACCTAGAAAATGCTTTTCTTATCAAGCAGTGATTTAATCCTAGTGCATTTAAATTCAAGCTAGCAAAATGTGAAGGGATTAAAAAGTATGAATTGGTAGTTATAAAATTGGTAGTAATGGGGATGTAAAGTACAGCATAGAGAATATAGTCAATAATATTGTAATTATGTATGGTGTCAGGTGGGTACTTGAAATATCAAGGGGATCACTTCGTAAAGTATATGACTCTCTAATCACTATGCTGTGCACCTTAAACTAATACAAAATAATATTAAATGTAAACTGCAATTGAAAAATAAAATGTAAACAAAGAAAAAATGGGAAAAAGTAAATTCACAGCTAGCAGTAGTTTAAAAGTTTTGTTGTGATGTTTTTTAACTCGGCTAGGTACAGTTCAAAAATTATTCTGTGAGGATCAAAATTATCTTTAATTCCCAGTGCCTAGAACAAAGCAGGCATTTAAGATGGTTAAGATAAATTTTAAAATATTCTTAGAAGATGAGAGCTAAAAGTTCAGGGAAGACTTCTTAAATAAGACACCTCAGTTGAGTATGGAAGAATGTATATGTTTTCTAAATGAAGAAGGCAGAGAGAACAAATCTCAAAAAAGGGTTGTACATCCTTGGAAAAGTATTCTGATGCAATGGGAAGAGGTTGGGCTTTGGAACTAGAAAGACTTGGCTTCTAACCCCATCTCTGTCATTTACTAACTGTGTGAGCAAGTTACATAACATCTCTGAACCTCAGCTTCCTCATCTCTAAAGTGGGGTAAATCACAGGATTATTGCGAAGTCCAAATTAGATGGCATTTAGGAAAATTTCCTCATGGTACCTATTAAGTACACAACAAATCTCCTGTGGAAGGCTCAGAAATCAGAGGCTGAGTCCTGTCAATCATGTTACAGTTGTAGAGACTGTGGCCCAGGGAGGTTACATGATAGCATAGGCAAGATTAGAAGAAAAATGAATAATGGTACTGTTTGTCTCCTTTATCACAAAATTGTTTTTTTGTTTTGTTTTGTTTTTGTTGTTGTTTTTATCCTCACCCAAGGACATTTTTTTTCCATTTTTTGTTCAGATAGAGTGGGAGGAAGAGAGAGGAAGAGAAAGAGAGAGAGAGAAACATCGACATGAAAGGTACAGGTCGAGTGGCTGCCACCCACACAACCAACCAGGGCCGGGGACAAACTGCAACCAAGTTACGCGCCCTTAGGGGTAACCAAACCCGGGTCTCTCTGGACCACAGACTAACGCTCTAACTGCTGAGCCAAACCAGCCAGGGCACAAAATTGTTTTATTTGACCCTCCTAGCAATCTTATAGGTAAATAATACCATCCCATTTAACAGGTAAGAAAACCAGGCTAATGGTCACTTAGGTGACAATAGTAGAAATGGAATTCAAAGGTAAGTATTTTGACCCCCTAGCTAGAATTAAAAACTCCAACATGGTATTTTTTTTCACTTTAGCACAGAGCCTCTTATTCAGTTCAATCTCTTGATTTGCCTTGGTTCTCCAACTTGCTCACCTGTAGCATTGGTACCTGATTTGGAGCTTTCCAAATCTTTGTAATTTAAAACTGTAATTCGTGCCATGTAAAATATATTAAAGGTGCGGAGTGAATTCCACATCAACTTCTTCATCTGGTATGAAAATTAGGCACTTTTTATTTTGGTGCCTTACCTCTGCACAGAATGGCTTTGGAGTCAGGCAAACTAGGGTTCAAATCCCAGCTCTGCCACTTGCTGATTTTATGTCACCTTGAACCAATCACTTCACTTCTGTGAGCCCAGCTTCATCATCTGTAAAATGGGGATAATAATGCCCATGTCATAGGTTTTTGTGCAGATTACATATATATAAAACACTTGACACTATGCCTGGCCCAAAGAAGGTACTCCATACATGTTCTTTTCCCCCTCTTTTTCCCTTCTCACCATTACCCCATGCCCATGGCACAGGAAATATTCTTACCTGCTAAATTAAAACTGTCATTACATGTTAAGGGGCTCCCTTTCCATACTCCTTCCCTTGTCTTGAGAAACAGTTTGTGTGTGAAGGGGAAATTGCTGTATCAGGGGAGCCTGTTTCCAAGTCTTGGCAAGTTACTTTACTTCTCTGAGTTTCTAGCTCCTCCTCTCAACTGTGAAAATAAAAATATATCCTAGAAGATGATCATGAAAGTAAACTGAAAGTGTTAGGAAAGTGCATTGTAAACTACATGATATTCTTCAAATCTAAGCTTCATATTACAGAAGCGTCCTACACAGTTCATTTATCATGGTTGTTTTTCTTAATAGGCTATCAAAAGAGCTTCTTTTGAACCCACAACAAACTCTGGTCTTCAAAGTCTGGCATAAAGGAGGTATGAACTCTATTCTGGGAACTCTGATTGTAAAAATGAGCTCACATACAATTGACAGTTTGCTAATCCTTTTCTTTTTTTTTTCTTAGCGGGAGGGAGAGAGTGGGGAAGAGAGAGAGAGAAACATCGATGTGAGAGAGACACATTGTCTAGTTGCCACCCACACAACCCCAACCGGGACAGGGACAAACTACATCCGAGGCATATGCCCTTAACAGGAACCGAACCCGGAACTCTCTGGTCTGCAGGCCGACACTAACCGCTGAGCCAAACCGGCCAGGGCAATCCTTTTCTTTTTTTAACGAAGTAAAACAATGGCACTGGTGGAGCTGAATATACACATACGTGTTAGAGGGAATCCCACAGAATGCCACTGGAATTTAAATCCTTAGAAAGTGTATAATTTTGTTTGACTACATGCTTAGTGCAGAAATCCAAGTACATATGAGTGTTTCCAGTTGAATCTCAACTATCATAATGTACATTGTGCCATACACAAGTGATTTCTACCCCTTGTATATTGTGTTATGCCTTCTCTTAACTCTGGCTTATTAACCAAGACCCTAGCATTTTCAGGCAGTAGAGTCTGACAAATTGTTCTTCCTTGTCTTAAGAACCTTCTCAAGACAGGGGTACTTATTTCCTGGTCCTTGAACCTAGTTTTACTCAGCTATCATTTATTAAGAGGCATAATACAACAATGTAAAGAGCACAGACTCTGAAGCCACACTCTTTAAATTTAAATACCAGTTCTGCCCCTTACACAGTAGTATGACCTTGGGTAAATGACTTGACTACTCTGTGCTTCAGTTTCCTTTTCTGTAAAATATAGATGATAATAGTACCCACCTCATGGGGTTTGGGGAGAATTAAATGAATGCCTGATACTTAGTAAATACTATATCACTGTTTATAAGTGAATTGCAATGTGCTACAAGCTTTACATACATTTTTAATTCTTCAAGGTAAAAATATAATTAGTTAAATTTTATAGATGTGAAAGTTGAGGCCCAAGGAAGTTTAGTGGCTTACCTGAGGTTATATACCTATTAATTGATGGAGTCAGGATTTGAACCCAGTTTTGACTGGCTATATAGCCTTCACCATTTATGCTTTACCATGTTGGTAAGGTTAGATGACTCAGAAAAATAAGGCAATGAGGATATCCAACTATCTCACAACTCCTATACTTAAAAATTTTGTCTTACTAAATCCCTTTTATAAAGTTGCTTTAAGATTCCTGCTAGACCCAAGCGTCCATCAGTAGATGAGTAGATAAAAAAGCTGTGGTACAGTTACACAATGAAATACTATGCAGCTGTAAGACAGAAAGATCTCTTACCCTTTGAGACGACGTGGAGGGACCTGGAGAGTATTATGCTAAGCAAAATAAGCCAATCAGAGAAACACAAATATCACATGATCTCACTTATTTGTGGAATATAATGAACAAAATAAGCTGATGAACAAAATAGACCCAAAGACAAAGAAGTAGGGTTCAGACTGACAAACCTCAGTGGAGGGGGTTTGGGGGAGGGAAGAGATAAACCAAAGAACTTATATGCATATATGCATAACCAATGGATATAGACAACATATATCCATGTTGGTGGGGGGATGGGAGGAGGGTACCAGTGGGGGGGAAAAGGAGGAACATCTGTAACAAAAATTAATTAATAAAATTTTTAAAAGATTAAAAAATTTAAAAAGATTAAAGATGCCTGTGCCCTGCCAGTGTGGCTCACTATTTGAGCGTCAACCCATGGACCAAGAGGTCGCTGGTTTGATTCCCAGTCAGGGCACATGCCCAGGTTGTGGGCCCAATCCCCAGTGGGGGGCATGCAGAAGGCGGCTAGTCGATGTTCTCTCTCACTGATGTTTCTATCTCTCTCTCCCTCTCCATTCCTCTTTCTTTACATAAAGAAAAAATATTAAAAAAAGATTCCTGCTAGAACCCTGGCCAGTTGGCTCAGTGGTTGGAGTGTTGGCCCCCAGACCAAAGGTTCTTGGGTTCAGTTTCTGGTCAAGGGCACATACTATCCCCAACCCCGTTCGAGGTTGTGCAGGAGGCAACTAATCGATGTGTCTCTCTCACATCAATGTTTCTTTCTCTCTCTCTCTCTCTTCCTCTCTCCCTCCTGCTCTATCTGAAGATAAATGCAAAAAAATGTCCTTGGGTGAGGATTTAAAAAAAAATGAACTAGCACTACAAAAGGAAAATGATGGATTGTTCTGCTAAATCTGATATTAAATTGAACTCTTCAAAGCCATTGTTTTTCTCAGTGACCAACTTAGCCAGATTTTTCCTCAAGTATGTTTAGGATGTAGTGCTCTCATGTTAAGGGAGAACTCTCAAAGTGAGGTTACCTAGACCTAACGTTAAAATATGTCAAGAACAGGTTACATCTCCGATAACCAAATAAAGCAAGAGTAGTTTTCTTTGTAAAGTTATAACAGATCTTTGGAGTGCAGATTAATGGCTTTAACCATCATTCTTCATCCCCATTAGGTAAGCATTATCTACTCTGGGGAGCACAACTTCAAGCATTCCTAGAATCTAAGACTGTCCAAATTGAAGGGGATCTTAAATTCAGTTCAGTACTTCTCATTATATATATGAGACTTGAGGTTCAGGGAGTTAGAGTAACGTGTTTTTAAGTCAAAGCCACACTCAGATTTGCTGTCGTGGCACACTGCTTCTTTGTCCCAGTCTGCATTGGCCAGCTCACTCGTGCTTAGTGGATGTTTATCAAGTTGATGTGGGAAACTGTTATGCTAAGTATGGAAAGTGTAGAGAACATAAAGCAAGTAATACTTGGTCTCAGCTTTTAGGTTAGTCCCAGTCTAAAGAAGAGCAAGCTGTGTAAACAAATGTTAGCGTGTGATGAGTTCAGTGTTGCCAGCAGTGTGCACAGGGAACTGAGAAACTCAGGACTACTCCTCTTGAAAATTTGGATTCCTTGATTTATTTAGCAATTTGAAAACAGAATTGTGTCCATGTTTTATAGATTCAGCCTTTGATATTCATTGGAGGGGATGGAGCTTATATCAAATAGGAACTTGTGGAGTGGTAGAGGCCTGTTTGTCCCCAGCTACTTTCATTGTCAGAAATGAGGAAAAAGAAGCAATGAGTCTGAGTACAAGATCATTGCATGATAGTTTTTCCAGCCAAAAAGAGGATCTTCTTAGTCATTAAGGGCAGCCCCCAAGCTCATTTTGCATTCTGTACTTTCTTTTGTTATTTATGTCACTTTTGTTTTTAATTAAATACGTTATAGAAAATTTTGAAAATGCAGATAGGCATAAATGGGAAAATGCAAATAAATCCCTCATAATTCCAAGAGTGCTGGTCTTTCACATGCTTCCTTTCAAGACCCAGTGCCTTGAGGGAAATCACTGAGACATGATAACCTAGGGAAAAGAACAATTGTTTGTGTTTAAGGGTGTTCTCCAGTGGTCTATACCAAGAGGACAAATCACAACCCTGCCAGCTTTTCCCTGCCATACAAAAAGGGAGTAAATTCATAATAGTGAAAGCAGGTTATGGTTGTCAGTCTCTCTCATCCTCATTACCTGTCTCTTCTGTTGATTTTGGAATCATTACACCCCCCAGCCTCCTAAATCAGTTTCTCTGTGTGCAACTTCTGATCTCAGAGGCAGGACATGTCCAGCCACACTGCCCAGCTCTTCTCTTTCCCCCACAGATGAGGAGAGAGTGATTGGCTTTGCCTCAGTGGACCTCTCCCCACTTCTCTCTGGCTTCCAGTTTGTCTGTGGTTGGTACAACATCACAGACTTCAGTGGAGAGTGCCAGGGGCAGATAAAAGTTGCTGTTTCCCCTTTGGAAAGTTTGATGCACTTCAAAGAAGAAAGGCAAGCAAGACGTGGGGTGGAAACCCCAGGATCACTGGTATGTATCCTGATTCACATCTTAACCAGTAATGGTTCTACCGAGCAAAACCTACAAGACGTTTCTTTACATGTGTTTAGTACTTTCCAGCTCATAGAACACATTATATATATTTGTGTTTTATAATAACTTCATGACCTTTTGGAGGTGATTAAAATGTTCTGGAGTTACATAGTGATGATGAATGCACAACTCTGAATATACTGAAAACCATTGAACTGAACACTTTCAAAGGGTGAACTTTATTATACATGAATTATATCTCAGTTTTTAAATAAAATAAGATTAGTTGCAGTGTGGAATCTGAAATCATATTGGTTGAACTTCTTTAAAACTCTTACATTAAAATCATTGGTCTATCATCAAAAAAAAATTAAAAGCTAGAGACTGGGAAGAATGGAATTGATTATAGTAATTATAGACAACTCTTTTAAGGAGTGTAACTATAAAAGAAAGAATTTTCCAAACTGTACCAGATAGGGGAGCTCGATCAAGGCAAAAATTGTGGTTTATTCATCTCTCTATCATATGTGCCTGGCCCAGGACCTGACAGAGTAGGCATCAGGAAATACTGAAAGAATGCATGCATGAGAAAATGACAAAGAGTTATTAAATAGTCCCTGTATACTACAGTCTTTTCTTCACATCAACCCTGGTCAGATAAGAAATGCCACAACCAACCCTGGCCAGTTTTGCTCAGTGGTTAGAGCATCGGCCTGCGGACCGGAGAGTCCCAGGTTCAGTTCCCGCTAAGGCCATGTACCTCGGTTGCGGTTTGTCCCTTCCCTGGTTGGGGTCATGTGGGTGGCAACCACTCGATGTGTATCTCTCATGTCAATGTTTTTCTCTCTCTCTCTTCCCCTCTCTC